CCCATCCAAATCTTACGATTTCAAGTCAGATTCTCTCAGCAGCAATAGCTCGTAAACGGTCGCGATTTGTGGCTCCGAAATCCGCGCACTGGGAGGTTTCACGCATTAAATTCTCAGACTGAACGGATTTTCTTTCTCTTCCATCTAAGATCAGACAAGCCCCTTGTCGAGAGGACGAAATGCATTCAAATGAATCCTTAATTTATTGGGAAACACGTCTTTCAATCCTTCTCTGAACCCTCCAGGCAGAACACCCTCACGGTTCGAAACCTGGTCATTGTTCTTCCAAATGCTCATTTCTTGTGAGTTGGTGAGAAGTTGTGACCTTCGTCGACAAGGGTTTTCCGGAGTGCATCTCCCCAGTCGCTTGCTGAACGGGATGGGAAATTAGGCCCATTTTGTCGAGGTCAAGTGAGCTCCTTGCCTGGGCATTCGGGAATTTCTGATTGTTGTCTCCTTTCGAACAATTCGCTCCTTCATCTCAACTTTGTCAATCGGAGGTTCGCTTCGAGAGGATGAATGGAAAACAGACTCTGGTTCTCGGAGAGCTTATTTTTGGATATCATATAGTTTATTCGAAATGTATGCAAGGAACGTCAGCGAGTATATATAGTGATTGGATGGAGTCAGCCGACTCCATCCAGTCTGTCCCCGGTCGGCAGCGATCCGCTAACCGCTGCGCCGTTTCCCCTTTGGACCTCGATGGAAACCCTCTGAAGCAAGAACTCAGTTGCCCGTCTATCCCCGGTTGCCACCTCGATGCGTTTCCCCAAGTCAGGCAGGAAGAACTCCTGAGACTTGCCCATGACACCAAGGGTCTCTAGGGCGACGGGTTGGACGATGAAGCGGCTTTCAAGTTCGCAATACTTCAATAGCTTGTTCCTCTCCGCAAGGCTCGCAATCGCCCCGCTTATTCTTTATTCACACTCTGAGGAGGATCTTCGATTGGGCCTTCCCTCCCAATAAACCATTCACCTAAAGTTCTGCTGCATGATGGTTCTCGAGCTTCGGAGATTCGGGGAGATTCGGGCTTGAAGATCGCTTAAGTGGCGACCTCTATTCGTGACGAATTCATCCAATCGACCCCGAAAACTTCGATGAACTCGTTCCAGTACAGCCCGTCTACCGAAGCCATGGCATGAGTGATGTTCGACTTGCGCTCTTCGGGTGTTCCTGGTGTGTTTTGGTAAACTATGGATTTGAGATATCCCCATAAAAAAAGTCGCATGGTGTCAAGTCTGGGGACTGGGCTGGCCACTCCAAATCCCCACGCCTTGAAATGAGCTCTCCCGGAAATGCCCGTCGCAAGAATTCCATCACAATATTCGCAGTGTGGGCTGTGGCATCTTGTTGGAACCACACACGATCCAGGCCCATCAGATGAAGCTGAGCCTGGAAGAAAGTCTCAAGCATAGAGAGGTACCGGCCGCTGTTCACAGTGACGGTGACCCCGTTTCCTTCGAAAACGAAAGGGCCAATTATGCCATGCCCGCAGTTGAAATCACGCTCTATACAGTTTGGCGTTTCGCGTGGAGAGGCTTCGTATGGAGCTCTTGCGGATTCTGAGCGCGCCGATATCGCATATTCTGACGATTTACACAACCTGTCAGCTCGAAGTGAGCTTCATCGCTGAAGAACACCACGGCATCGAGGGGAAGGCTGTGCTAACTCGCTGACTCGCAATGAAATCTCCGCTGCGGAGTTCTTTGACCACAGCGAGCTTGTAGGGATGTAGCTTAAGGTCTTCGTGCAGGATCCTTCCCAATGTGGTCCTTGCTGTCACACACCCCTGGATATTGAGAGAAAACTCTGGCCAATGTTTCCGACACGTCGTCAGGGGAAGACCGTGAAATCCGGGAGCGACCCGGTGAGTCCGCACTACGTGGCGGTACACGAGCCTAACTGACTTGGAAACCACCGTTGGCCCTGGCCAACGGCGTGGTTCTTTTTGGTTGCGAGGCGAAGGAAGTTACTCACTCGACTTCGGGCCACCCTGGAAGCTTCCCCCGACGACTATTTATTGCAGAATACCAAATACAGATCATATAGTTTTCCCCTCCCGATGGAGCAGTCGCTGAAAACCGACAACGACGGCAAGAGCTATCGCGGGATCGGACTTCGGTCCGCGACACTTGCAATTCCCGACGAACTCGAATGCCTCCTCTCGGATCATTGCGGCGAACGGGAAATCGCTTGTCGCACGCGCTCAATCTCGGCGACGGTGCGCACTGTGAAAGTACGCGATCTTGCTCTCTCGGTTCTTCCGGTCTCGAGGAAGACATCCGTCCAGGATTGGATGGATGCGCGACTTGGGACTCGCTCGCGAGGTCCGAGATTGAAATGGCGCCGAAACGCCCTCTGAGCAGGGATCGCCGATCGATTGTTATGAAGATAGGCGATGACGGCTGAGAATGTGATTGAGCGACTTCAGGCCTTATTCACCGCGACCTCTGTGCGAAACGCTCGAGTGCGAGAAATGCTCTGACACAAGCGAACTCTAAAATCGTTATTCAAATGAAACGGAGCGGAGAAAATGTATGATTTCAAGTGAAAGAAAGTGCTGCCCGAGAGCAATCCTCGAACGACAATATCCCCATTTCCAATCAAGTGTTTCGCAATTGCGACGGAGATGACTCGAGAATGATTAAACTGGCACTCCATCTTCGACAGCGTGCAAGGATTCCGTCAAAAAAAGCCTCACTCCCGGACTCCCATTGATTCGACTCAAGAGGGGAGGACCAGTGTGCTGCTTCCGCGAATGCCAGTTTTCGGGGGTCCAAAGAGTTCCAGAAAGCAACAAGAAAGCCTACTCACGGGATCGCGTACGCGTTTCGAATGTTGTGCCCTGCATGTCTTGGAGGCTTCCCAACGGCGTCCGCAGTCCGCAGCTCAATGAAAAAACGACGCAGTTCCATTAGGCCTCGAGTTTTGGCGCGGCATTCAGGCCTTACATATCTTCTCCCATACTCTCGTTTTGGGAATATTGCCTCTAAATGCTATGGACCGTTTCGGAAGTCGAGCCTTCATCATCTTCGAAGCTTTCGCCGGCAGGGAGTTCCGGAACATGTGGTGCTCCTTCTCGACAAAATGGACCCAGTCTCCTATCCCGCTCAGCGAGCGATTGGAGAGGTGCACCCCGGAAAGCCGTTGTCGACGAATGTCGCAGCTTCTCACCAACTTCCCACAAATGAGCATTTGGAAGAACAGTGATCAGGTTTCAAACCGTGAGGGTCTTGTGCCTAGAGAGTTCCACAGAGCATTGAAAGAAGTGTGTCTCAATGGATGAATGATTCGTTTCAAATCCATTTTGTACTCTTGACAAGAGGCTTGTCTGATCTTAGATGGACGAGAAAGAAAATCCGTCAAGTCTGAGAATTCAAGGCGAGAAATCTCCAACTGCGCTGATCTCGGAGCCACTAGTCGCGACCCTTTCCGAGCTATGGCTGCTGAGAATATTGTACTTGAAATCGTAAGATTCGAATGGACCACCCCGTACATATGTATAATGATAATAATAATGATCGAATATCTAGCGAGCGAGGGAAAATGTTTGAGTCGGCTTCCGGAGACAAGCGAGCGGGCGAGTTTTTCCAGGGGGTCTCGCTCGAGGCTCAGAAGGGCGACGCCACTGCTATAAACGGTTCCCTGGATATCGGGGAAACCGGCCTTGGCTGGTGATTCCTTTCCACTATGGAGGAGGACCAAGGAGTTGATTCGATAACTTTGAAAATAATTAGCGTTGATGGAATAATCGAATATCATAATCAGAATCATCGATAATGATAATTCAGAGAAAAAGATCAAGAATCTAATATTAGTATCACGTCTTCATCTCAAGAAGGCTCGACTTCTTCCGGGAGGATGGAGACATTGTTCCTCAGGGTTCCGAACTCCAAGAGATATGGATTAGATTGGAGCAATCGACCGATGTATCATAAGCCTGGGCAAGGACGCAAACTTGAGAATGCACTCTTCCTCCTCCGGCTTGCATACCCCGCTGCGCGGAGAACAGATCTGAGATTGTTCATCTTCAGTTCTCGACTCCCTCCCGCTGCCCTGATGATGTTCCCCGTCTTGACTGTGCCTACGGATCCTCTCTCGACCTTATATGTTTCCCCCGAGTAATTCCGCCGGCCGAGCGGGATCGACGTACGATTTCCCCGGCTCTCGAATTCGGGAAATAAGCATCGTAGCTCTGTTAGGAAGCGGTCTCGCTCCCGAGCTATCTATCGAAGAAGGAGTCTCCAAAAGTTGTAAAAGCTGACGTGGATTTTATTGAACAGATTCTGCTTCCTTACCCGGACTCTACTTCTTTCTTATTCGCGTCGCGTTGTCATTATCATCAGAAGAGATATGTACATCCAATTCCACAATGATCTCATGTCAGCTCATCACGGCTTTGCGAAGCAGCTCACGTCAGGAATCACCGGCTGCGACTAATCTGTCGGTGGCTCTGAACAGCTTCTCTACACCGAAACTGCAAAAGCTCAGCTCGCATGCCAAAAATCGTCAAGAGGCGACCCGGTGCGTACCGGAAAATTTCGGAGGGCTCGAAAACTTCGCAACGTCAGCTATATCGGGAGCGTCTGCGTTGGGCGCGTTCGCAGAGCTCGCTGGGGAAAACGGGAGCATGGTGTTCTCGAAGAGCTCTCTGAATCATTCCATCGATTTCGTTCTGTGCATCCTTTCGATAAGTTCTCCACTCGAGCTTATGCCGAGCAGCCTCTGTCTCATTCATGTTTGTCCCTATATATTTACACTGGTTGCCGACGATGTCGAGCTATCCGATCGAAGCGCGGAGAAATCCCCGACCGCCAAAATCGAAAATAGCTCCTATCGCAGTAAATTCTCTGTCGTCTGGTGCTTTGGGTCTCCCCCATCCCATCCAAACGCTATCCGTGCGAGTGAGAGAGCCGAGCGCTCCCGCCACGGTTTGGAAGCGTCGCTTATCGCTAACGGGGGACTCGGTGGAATGCGTTTGAGTTAAAAAAACTAGCTCCAGGCCATCCGCGACTTCGTTCTATTCGGAATAGCACAAATCATCTACAGATAGTGTACATTCAGTCGTTTCGCCGCGTCTATAGGCTAGAGATCCACGGGGCCTGGTTCCTTAGGGAGGCGGCTGGGGACTCCACATTGAGCCATTCGAATCGAGAGCAAACCGAGGGAACTCCTGGGCCGCGACCGAGCTTCAGAACCAGACCTCTGCTGTTCTCACACTTCCTCGTGATTCATGAGAGGGCACTCGGCGTCGTCGAGAGCATGGATCCGGGTCCAATCGGTCGTCCGTCGACCGAGCTCGAAGAAATCGACGAAATTGTTCCAAGCACCTTTTTTGGCAAATGGCGAAACCACGTTGCCGCTCTGGTCGCGACTGAAGTGCTTGTATCGACCGCAGTTCATTCTCTCATTGGTTGTCATACCGAGCAATACTATCTGATACATCTGACAGAAGAACAGGCAGATGACCCAAACTGTGTGCAGTAGGACGTTCGCCGTGACCCATGAAACCCAACCGCTCGACATTATCACGGTGAATAGAGGGGTCTGCTCGCTTTTCACCTCAAAATATGCGTATATCGCGTGCCACATGAACCCCAGCATAATGCATAGAAACAAAAGATACAGCATGAAGTTTTTGTGATTTTTGGCGCCGATGCAATTAGCCACCCACGGACAATGATGATCGAAGCGAGCCACGCAACAATCGCAGATCGAACAATGCTTCGACCGAAGAGGCTTCCGCACCAAACACGAACTGCAGAAAACGGCCGTATCGAAACCGTCGCGTTCGGCGAGCTCGATTATGGTTCGATATTGGTTATCGCGATCCTTGGGAATGATTCCCGGGTCCGCCCTCCACGACCGCCAGAAGTTGTAGAAGAGTCCAATCGAAAAGATCAAAAACAACATCTGCATCTCGAGCTGCACGTATTGCGAGAGCTCGACGAACCATGTGACGTACAACCAAAACTTTGTCGCCAGATACGTGCACACGGGTACGTAGTCCATGCTCAAGTACTTGGTCAGGGTTCCGGCACCGATGATGGTCAACGCAAGGAAGAGCACCTTGAGTATGGGTACAAGCTCACTTTGGAGAATACTGCCGACGGCCAGGAACCCGAAGAATGGAACGCACATCACAAGCCACTGGTTCAAGAGCTTGTTGCGAGGAATTTTGCAGATTGTTTTCGGTTGTTCGGCGTGGAGCAGCTTATTCAAAAGGAACGTCTGGTTGCTCCGGCTCGCCATGTCCTTTGGTGTCATGCCCTGCGCGTTCACAGCGCTCACGTCAGCTCCGGCTTTCAGCAGCTGCATGAGGGCCGTGAGATTTTTCGCATATACCGCCCAATGCAGAGGGGTGTTCTTGTGGACTCGGTCGCTCATCGAATGGCTGGCCCCCAAAGTTAGCAGCAACCTGGTGGGGTCAGCCGACGTCTGAACCCTGTACGTGGTCCACATCAAGGCGGTCATGCCATTGACGTCTTCCAAGTTCACGTTCTCGCCTTTCGCGATCAGATAGGCTACGAGGGGCGTATGTCCAAATTGAGCTGCGAGGTGTATGCAGGCGCAGCCTTCGCCATCACGGATGGACGGGTTCGCGCCATATTTCATCAAGAGTACCACCTGAAAAGCAACGCTTTAAGTAATTAGATTGACCGGGGGACGACATCGACATTGGGGTAGACTCATTTTGCGTCGAGAGCTTGCAGTAAGACGATTCGACTGAGGTCCAGAAAAGGAACGGAGAAGCCTTTGGTGGTTCACTTCCAGCAGGGCCAGACCTTCTGGGGGTCGGCTAGGACGTTTATAGATTGTCTGTTATCCACTCGTCGCATCCATTTTTCTTTCTCGAGTCGATGTCGGATCTGCTCACCATGGACAGATGACCCTGGCGGGTGGCCCAATGGAGCGGTGTGGACTGGAGCTCACCGCCGACCGCATCCACGATTGCGCCCTTGGACGTAAGGTAGTTGACGATCTCGAGACGATTGTTGATGGCGGCCCAATGCAGTAGGGTGACGTTTTCCTGAGCGCATTGAATCAGAAAATTAGACTCCGAGAGTTTGTCGACAAAGACACGAGTTTCTTTTTCTTCCGTTCCGAGTATTTAGCTTGAGTTCCCAGGGCCCGGGAGGTTCAATCTCGACCGGGACCCTTACTCACCGGATCTCTTTCGTTGACGCCATAGCCTTCGCCTTCGACGATTTCTTTAACTCGATCAAATATTCCATATTGTGTCGCCTTGACAATATCAAAGGCAGATCCGGATGACTCATTCGACATCTGATGGCGGATAAAACATATATTACTTTGTGCCCAACAGAAAGCCCCGCTCTAGAAAGCTTCATTTTTCAAGTTTCCCTTTCGAAGCACGAGTGCATTCAATCAAATTAGCGATTATTATCCACGTTCGCTCCGATGATTCTCTGACGTAGACCGACTTCCGCAGAGAAATACGGATGGATAATTTCTAATTACGGAACCCCGAACTGCTCACAGGGGAGTGCGGGGACCACTTCCGGTGAAAGTGGCGACGCTGCCCGCAACTCAGGGAGTCTGAAGCAAAACGAACGAAATCGGACAGAATCGAATGTGACCATAGGAATATCCGAGAAGCATGCCATTGAATATCATTCCAAATGTTTCCTTTCTTCGAATGGCGTTTCGGGAGGGCTCTCCGCCGAGCGAGCCGAAGTGCAGAAAGCGCGGCGACGACGTCTATTATTTTCAAGTCAATCGATACCACTGCGTTGAGAGAGAGCGACGGAGAAACCATGAGGGCCCTAGAGAAAGAGCGCGCTCTATCGATTGATACATTCTCTGCCGGGTTGGAATGATTTATTTTCAGACGGCTTGCTAAACACTAGCTCATTCTCCCTGGGGGAGGAAGTCGGAGAACGCCTCCACAGCTCCGCTCACGACTCGTCCACGGGCTCACGTCCATCTCTGAGTTTCTGATCAGATCTGCGTGGAAAGCCAATAGAAAGCAATAGACTACGTGGGCGATGGAAACTCGACGCGACCAGTTCGACGGAAACTCATCATGCTCATAATCGACTCGGGCAGCCTCCCAGGCTGGTCTGGGGAGTTAAGGGGCTCGAAAGATCCTCGCACAGTTTCATCTCAAGTGCTCGGATAGCTACTCCGGAACGCCAGGCACGTGGACGTCATGCTCGCGTCAAGAGAGTCCGAACGGTGAAACCTGTCCCCGCACACCCGAGACTCCGTCCCCAGATCAGAGGAAATCATAGGATCGTCAGGGAATCGGTCGGAGAAACAAAATTCCCCCTGTTGTCACGCTCAGACTGCAAACTCGAAGCAGCCGGAGAGAGCGCAGAAAATCTTCTGCTGGGAGATGTGCGGTCCGTACAACGGAATAGGGCTGGTGCTGCCACCGGCGAAATATCATCCCGGGGCAGGAGACAATTCTCAGGCGAGCTCTGCCGCTAAGGTAATTCCACCACGTATCCGCGGTGGTAGGGAGTGCCGGAGGGGCAGTCGAGTATACCTAGTGGCCATCGTTCGACAGCAGGAAAAAAACGATTCGAGAGCTCACCTTTGAGTTTACCGGGATCTGCCAACGTTCCAGAAACTTTTCATAGTCGCAGATCCTCGAGAAATGTCTCTGTCCACTTCAACTTCACTACTAGGTACTGTCATAAGTCATGCGAGAGAGCTGTCCCCAAACAAATAAATCGACGGACCACGGGATGTGCGGAATAAACCAATCCTGAGAGTTGGCCCGCAGAGATCTCAACGACTCTCTTGGCCTATTTTCATTCCAAGAAACGTCTCCACCGAGTCGACTCTTTGACGACGCTTCTCATGGATGAGTCAGTCGACTAATTCGCGATTAAGTGGATTCCCCGAGCCTGAACAATGAGTTCCGTCCTTTAGTCACTCGATGTTAGTCCTGTTCTGCCTTCAGGAGAGAGAGATGCGGATCCGCGCTGGACGTCTGGGGGTCTGCGGGCATCTTTGAAAGGACGTCGGAAAATTCATACTCTAATGCGAAGCAGGATGGCCGGCGGAATTATTGGCGACGAAAGGCCGTCGCTGGGTCGCGGGGCGATGGTTCGGATGGTCGTGTTTTTGTGGAGCGATGCGACACTGTCGTCACCAGACCAAATTCTCTTTTGACGCTAATGCGGCTGGTGCTTCGGATGTACCGGGAGAGGAGCACGTTCTATTCGGGCTCGGAATACTTTCAAGCTCAACTCCTCGGACACGAATGGGACCTCAGGTGCGAGCAAATGCGCCGTCGCGTCATCCGTCCTTGTTTATAGATTCTGACTCCATCATCAATGTTCTGAGAGGCATCACGCGCCGGAAGTGACGAAGAACTCATTAAGCTCGTGATGAATGCTATAAGTTCGGACCTTCCTTCGAGATCTCGCTTACAAGGTTAACTTCACCGACGTCATCCCTCTCTGCAGAAATGACGGAAAGCGTTCTTGTAGCGTCGATGGCCCTCCCGAGGGAGAAGATAACTCCTCTCGGTGGGAGCTTCTCGCGGGAGACATCCTCATTCTGCCCCTGGAGTGTCGAGCGTAAGGAGTATTGCCACAGCTAAAAAGGGCCACAGACTCTTCTGCCGAAAGCGCTGACTTGTCCCCCCCTTCTGAGGGACCTTCATGCTGAGAAAAGTATTCTCTCCCCTTCTTTTCGTTTCGCTGCAGAGCTCTACCGGAGAGTTCAGTTCCCCCCTTCAGAAGAGATATCGCTCTCTCGTTAGTTTTTCCTGTACCACTGCGCAATTCAGACGCTTCCCCGACTTAGTCTTCCGGTACTGGTAAATGCCTCCGCGCAGCCCTACGAGCGCAGTTCAAATCTAGTGGACAGTAAACAGGACGTAGCAGACGAATTCCGTCGTTCGAGCCGCGAGCTCGTCAATCCGCTATGCTCCTCGAATCCATTTCACCGCGGGCACACTCAAAACTTGGGCTCGCAGAGGCGAGCTTAGGGAAACCGAACAGCCCGCGTCCCGTCGTAAGTCGAGCTCTGATCAGTTCGCCTTGATCCACTTCATTCTGTCCACACCTGATTAATATCCTCTCCCTCGGATTCGGCCGATCTGGCGGCAGACTTCATGTATAAAACGTAGCTTGGAGAGCAGGACCGATGAACATGGGCAGCATTGTGAGCCGAAATAATTATTTTCCATGATTCTCCGCGTCGTTCGCGCGTCTCAGGTAAGTTTCGGTTATAGAATGGTCTGCCCGATTATGAGAAGCCCCATTAGTACCGACATCGCAACCTTGAGGTCATGAATGGTCCGGTAGTTCCTCCGAATCCCCCTTTGCCGATGAAGGGGATAACCTGTGAGCCGCGCCGGATCCACTTCCTGAGCTCGCTCTGCGCGGGGTTTCTCAAACGCCCAGGAGAACTGCCCTGGCATTCCCATTCGAGGCGCAGACTTGCTAAGGAGATGCGGGGGGCTTAGCGTGGATGGATACCTGATCCTCGGCGAGATCCTTCCTCCGGCAAAGCCCTCTGGATAGACTGTTTACGCTAAAGTACGGACGCCTCTCCGTACAATCAGGAGATGGAGATTAAATTCCAAATGTGCATGATCAAGGAAAGGGGGCCAAAATCCTGCCGTAATTTTCCATCGTTGTGTAGAAGTCTAGACCCCTACAGCGCGTCTCGTTCGACGTAGAAACCCAGGATAGCGCGCCTTCTGCTATTTAGCGGGCTCTTATACCCAGGGGGGGGGGGACCACAGAGGGGGTAACGTATGAATTTTCGGAGTCGACAGTTAAGGATCGTTTCAGCCCTGACTCGAGCGTATCGGCACTGTATCGTTGCAGAAAAGCGACAGCTTGGAATGGCGAGCTCGCCAGAGTCTTCTGTGGCCCCGTCGCCCCCACCTACGGTTCTTGTGAACTTCCAATCGTTGTTGGAACTTAACTTGGCGTACCAAGATCTTGTACAGAAGCTCCTCGACGAACTGCAATCAATCATCGCAGAAAATAATGAGCTGCAGCAAGAAGCCGCTGAAATCTTGGTCATTCAGGCAAGTGAGACGAGGCGATCTGAGTTTTCGCGGGAAGCTCCAAGGCAGAGAAGCCTGAGTCCGAAATATTGAAAAAAAAATAGGTCGCACCTCAATTTTCAGGCGCGGAATCCGAAGACGGCGTCCCGTTCATTCCACCTCCCTTACTTTGTGGATTCCGAAGAGAGGACTCCACCTGTTTCGGAAGACAAGAACCTCAAAGACGCTTTCGGCATCCGACCGCTGGTGAGAATCAGATGGAGTTGATCGCGTTATGATAGAACCGAGTCGTAGACCCCTTATATGTTGGCGAATATTATTTATGTCGGATTATTTCATTCCGTCATCAGGTTCCAACCAGGAAATGGTCGGAGAAAGAATATATCCAGCTCCAAGACGCCGTTTCCGCCAACGTCAAGCGCAGAGTCTCGTCCCGGCTGATCCTGAAGAAGAATACCCTCCAGGAGAAACTGGCAGTTCTCGACGAGAGCAGTAACCGCGCACTGCTCGAAGAGGTCGAGGAAGAACTCTCCGAATTGATGAATTTGAACAAGATGAAACTACTGAGAAAATACAAGCACGAGAGAGTCGATTGGTTGTGTATTTCCGTGATTGACTTTGCCGGCCGCAGAAGCGACGTGGAACTGCAACAAATGTGGGTGAACTACATCTGGCCGAACCTTGAGAACCCCCCTTGGGATCCGGAGTCCATGCAGGTACTTATTCAGATCATCGAAGCCTCCCTACCCCGTTTGTGGGATTCACGCACTTCCTCGAGAAGAGATCTTTTTTCGTGTTTGGCCATGGAACATATCGTATTCTGTTTCCACAGAAACTCGAACAACTCCTCGAAGAGTCAACTGACGGTCGGGACTGGGATCATATTGCTGAGAAATGTCAGAAGCACGTCTTCCAGTGCTGGGAGCTTAGTTCGCAGAACAATGCATACACGAAGCCCGTGAAGACCGCGGGGGACGATCTCATCTGTCTGTACATGAGTCTCCGCTCAATTGACTTTGTTCCCTGGGTCAAACTGGCGGATCTCTTACAACTCACCGCGTGAGTACATGTCAGAGTCATGGAACCGCCGTTTGATGTTATAAAATTTTTCACGGTCCGTGGCTGACGCTTGCTATGACCTCTGCCTCGGGGGGAATTCTAGGCGAATGATCTAGAGTCGCATCCCGGATTTCAGACCATCGAAAGCGATGCGACGCGTAGAGACGGCTCTTTGCGCAACTCACAGGAAATGTTGGACTCTCGAGGAGGACATTCTCTTCATCCTGGCACTATATTTGTATCGAAGTCCGAATTCATGGGAAAACGTCTTCAAATGCATGGAGATGGGGGATAGCCCGAGGAACCATAATCAGTGCTCTTTCCGCCTCGACCACCTTCTCGGGACCATGACTTTCGGATCTGCGATTAAAATCATCGAGGGTGAGCGCTCGATTTTCTGCACGGTTCGATTCATAACGGCCCCAGGATGCTCGCTGGCGTTGGATTTCTATATCATTGTCCTGCGAACGGCTCAGAACTGTTTCATTCTCTTCAAGCCTACAAACATGAACCGCGTCGCGCAGTTCCCCGAAACCGCAAAAAGTCCACTATGGTCCCATGGCTGCTTTCGTTCTTGATGTCAGTTGTCAAAAAGGTGAGGATTTTCCCGATTGATCCAAGCGATCGGGAGCGCTCGATGTAATAGTTCCATGACCGAGTCTGTGAGGCAACCTTACCGGGGAATAATTCTTCCTCCATCAACAGGTTCGGTTGGCTTGCTTCCTCCAAGATGACCCCTATGCAGAACTGCACAAGATTGCTGCCAGATCGGCGAAGAACTGCTTGGTCCTTCTGAACTCCAGACACAGGAATATCGAAAGTGACGCGTAAGTAAGAAGCAAGCCGCCTCGTGATAAACGGGGAAACTCGCCTCTCATGGGCATCTCCTCCCTCCAGATTGGATTTTATGATCGCCAAGGTAATATCGCCCGTTCAGACGAAGCCGAAACCTTGCGCTGTTCCTGGAATTCGAACCATCCATACGGTGATGTTGCCTGTTATAGAAAAAATATTTTAAGGTGAGGAATGCATTCTCTCCCCGTTTCTTTCCATACCGATCGCGAGCTCATCAGGGGTTGCGTCTTTATCTCACTTGTTTCTCTCGGCTGACCTGCGCTCTATCGCGTAGAGCTATATATATTCTTCCGCTGAATGGAAACAGAGCGATCGACTCCCTCCGATCGAACGCCTCTGATCGATCTGAAGAAACACTGTCCTCTGCAGAATGGATTCTCCAACCGACTCCTTGAAAGACTTGCGAGATCCGAACCAAAGAGCCCGCGCACAACGACTACATGAAGTTCTAGATGCAATGACTCAACATAATGTTTTACCTCCCTGTTCGATAATGGTCGAGCCGACCAACGTGAGTGGATTTCCGCTGCGCCTGCAAGAATCCGATATCATCTATGATACATAGATAACTCCGCTGAAGTCTTTGGAGAATGCTGAGAACTGAGTTCTGGTAGGGTATTCTACGGCGCTCTCTGCCCGTCTGGGAAATCGACCCATCGATCGTAAGCTGGATGGAAGAACAGATGAAAACGTCTGAACTATTCCAAAACTTCGAGAGAGCCTTCAACAGCATGTTCGCGATGCCCATAATCGCATCCGAGGTCAGTGTTCATAGATGAAGACGATTTCGTTCCTTACGGAACTGCGCCAGATCCCTCGACTCCGATATGTCGCTATCATCGTTTTGAGAGAAACCTATATAGTTGAATCGCTTTTGCCGTAACAAGGGAGTCGGACACATCTAAATATTTCAAGGATCAACATCGGAAATGTGCATCTCATGGTGGTTTCAATCGAGCTGTCGGTGTGTTCCTTCTAGGTGATTTTGCCGGAAGTCAAACCCTTGAGGATGAGGGTCGCCAACAAGAAGCGCCGGAATATCACTTTCAGGAGAAAACGGGGATCCAAAAAGCCTTGGATCAAGGTAAATCAGGGAGGAATCGCGCATCTCGGGACATTCGCTCCTAGGGAACTCGCAGAATAATTTTCTTTATCCTATTCAGGCTCGCTGGAAAAGATTCCGTGAGATGAAAGCCAACGAGGAGCAGAACGAGGATGCTGAAGGCTCAGATGCTGGGGACCTATCTGAGCCGGAAAGCGGAATCCCTGGCTTCGCTCCGACTCAGACGACAAATGCCGCTCGGTCAACTCCGGGGCCATCGAGCAGAGCTCAGTCTACAAGTTTCTGAGTGAGGAACCCGCGCTTGAGAAAATTGTGATATCTCAACAAGTGCATTTTTACCTACCGATTCCCGAGGGGCCGTGAGCCCCGGCGGGACTCGAGTCCGATTTCTATTTTTAGTGTTATATATTACTGAGTGAGTTCAACCCCCACATGATTGTGGGTTCCATAGAGAAAGGATTCGAAGAAGTTACTCTCGCAAGGGGTAATGAGAAAAATAAAGACATTCGGCGATCTTCGCGGAAGAATCGAACGTTGCATTATTATTCTTCCGAGGCCGTCGTGAAGTCTCCCTGAGGCACGCTATTTGTACGTGATTCTCCAGGATGACTGAGTATCTCGTTGTGGGTTGCGGCCTGAGTAATTTCTCAGGTGATCAGCGGTCATCAGTCAAGGACAGCCAAGACACTGATTTCTCTGTTCGAAATCAGTCTGGAAATCTTCCTCGTCTGCTCCGACTTCTTCTCGTCAGATTACCCGCCTACTTTGACGAGCGCGCGGGAGTGGCTGGTCTGAGATTCTTTCCGAGCGATGCCTATATCTGCGGAATGAATCGATGAATCGCTCGAGGTCAGAGACCTTACTCTGCGATCGCCTTCTTCCTGGAGTCAGCCTCTTACGTCTAGGTTAAAGGGGAGACGCGTGTCTATAGAGGTTCTTTCTCGAGATTCACTAAGTATCTAGGAGGTCATCGAACCCATTATGTTTGAAAGTTTCAACGCAGATTACCAAAAGCCTCATACAATATATGAGGCTTCGAAGTGAAACTTGTTTGAAGTCCTCGAGCAGGACATCAAGAGTTTGGACTCCACCCAGTTAGCTGGCCAATCGGACAATGACCACCGTCGACGGTGAATCCGCGCTGCGGATCGCGCTTACGAGACATACGACGCTTTCACAAGTTTTTGCGAAGGCGGAAGCGCAATGATCATATCGGCTCCGAAAACTGACGACGGAAGCCGATCCACCGTGAGCTACGAGAGCCTCACACCGGGAGCGAAACCCCAGGGCGATCACCTGCGCGATAACATTGAGCCCCGGAACACCTTGATCGACATGCCCCCGTCGATGGGATGCCCAAGACGTGCCCCTTCCCTAACGACGATCACATCCGCGAAATACTGCCTGCACTGAACTGATTCCGAAAGTAAACGACAGAGATCCTATAAGAATTGGGCTCTCTTCCCGGATGGCGAAAAAAAAGCAGAACGATGTACAAACGCGAATATAATTTATTCACAGGCAAGTTTCGAGTCGAAAGAACTCAAGGCGATCGCGAACGCCTGTAATGCGCACATGGGATTGCTATAGTCCATGGAAAAACAGTCCTCGGTGACTCTTCCGAATTGCATCATAATTGTATCGACATCACTCTCATGCACG